TTACACGTGGAGGAACAGTTATATCTTGGAGATTTGTGAAGCAATTATTGACAGCAACATTTTCAAATCATTATGAAATTATTACAATCCATGAAGCCGCCGAGAATGTGTATGGTTGAGGAACATGAACCATCATATCCAAATATCATGCAGATTGATTTCAACAAAAGATAGTCCAACAATTTTGTATGAAAATAATGATGTTTGTACTGCACAACTCAAAGGAGGTTATATCAAAGGTGACAGGATGAAACATATTTTTTCAAAATTCTTTCATACAGACTAGTTTCAAAAAAAATGACGACGTCAATATTCAACAAATTCGTTCAAGTGACAATGTGGCTATTTATTTACAAAAACACTACCAACATCTACATTTAAGAAACTGGTTCACAAGATTGGAATGCGTCAACTCAAAAATTTTCATAAGATAGGTTTTTATTATAATACAAACACAAGTCTGTTGAATTTTATTCTTTATTCTCTTTTTCTCTTATTTCATAACAATTTAAATTTTTTGTTTCAACATTATTAAATGGAAAATGAAATTACTGGTTTTGTCATTTTGATAAATAAGCTGTCATAAATGAATAATTTTTTTAAAAGAAAAATCAAGTAAATAATATATGATATCATTGTTTTCTATTTTGAGTCTTAAAAAGGATTTCTTATCTATTATAAGCTCATGTTTTAACTTTTTACCATTTTACAATTCAGCCCATGTTTGGCCCCCCATTAAATTTAATTTATTTTTCTCTCTTCTTTTATCAATTACACATTCTTTAAATAAAAATGATATTACACAACCCAAAAATTCTCTTCACTCTTTAACCACACATTAAAAAAAAAAAAAAAAAACTATTCCCAAATCAAGTTTTGTCAAATAATGGAGCTCAAACAAGGGCTCAATATACTTTCAAGAATTCGTAAATTATTTTTTATTTTTATTTTTATTTTTATTCTTGACGTACTAATGAATTTAAAAAAAAAAATGTCAAGTCAATAGTAGGAATTGGAAATACTTGAATTAATAGAAAATTAATTTATGAAAAAGATACATGTAAGAGCGAAAAGTTAATTGTCTAGATGGAAGAGTAATAGAAATTAATAATAAATGGCATGTAAAGCGTTAAGTATGGTAAAATGAATGTGATTTGTTATTCTTAATTTATGTATTTTCGTATGTTTCATCATTTCTAATAAAAAAAATTGTAAATATTTCTATTTTGTCCTGCAATATTTTTTTATTTAACCCGTAAATATGCAAAATGTAATTTTTCAAAACATGATAAGTAAATTGTAAATACACTTTAAATATAGGATGTATTTTGTAAATTTCCCTAGTAATAAAATTACTATTCTCTATAGATAAAATAAGAGTGCGTTTGAGTGAATTTATTTTCTATGAATCAAATTTTTCCAGTATTGAATAGGGTTACAAGAAAACAAACCAACGAAGTTCCCAATCCACGTGAATATTGAAAGATATAAACAAT